ATGACGGATGAGGCAACTCTAGCCTCACCAAACAGTAACCATTACCTTTTTTTTGGTGCAAGTTTGCTTTTGGGAAGTGCTTTGGAGCTTCTTAGTCCAACCACTGAGTTGGTCATCACCAGTTGCCTAATAAAAATCCACTTTCATTGCACCTCCCAATCCAGTGGAGAAATGGTTCATTGTTCTTGCTTAGAATAATAGAAGACGACACTGAAAAACGATGATATTTTAAATTTTCGCTCAGCTCATGAGGCACCCAGTAGCCGAGCCTTTTCACCTTTCCAGTTTGCTTAAAATGCCACGACCGTAGATTGGTTGAGGTTGAGTTCTTTGGTAACTTCTAATGTAGTTGTAAGAGGATCAGCTTCTAAGATTAGGCTCAATTGGTCGTTATCAACTTCCTGTGGTTCGTCACTATGCTCCTCATCTTCAAGGTTCTCATCTTCAAGGTGCTCTTCTCTTTTGTAGATGTTCTTGAACCACCACTGCCCTGTATATTTGTTAGCGGATCCTGGGTCAAATGCATTGTTGATGTTGTGAGTTGTCTCCACTGCTTTACAACCCATTTAGAACTTGAATAAGAAAATCACTTGAATTTGTTTTTTGTCTAAGATCATTTCCATAGTCCAAAATAAGCATAAACGGCAAGTAATAAGTCATTTAGCAAAAATCATAAGGTGAGCCATTGAAATGATGTATAACATAACCACATTTATTTAAGAAGGTGTTCCAGTATCACATGGTGAATTTCAGCAGTGCAAAAACCACAATTACTTTTGCACTAACCTATCTACAGAGAAGCTGGCCATCTATATTTATACATGATTCACCTCAAATTCAACAGCTAGAGTAATCTTCAAAGCAGCATCATTGGATATGTTCTGGCCATTGTTTTTGCCCCCTGCTTCTTTTTTTGCTAATATTTTTTTGCTTGTTTGCTCTTATTTTTCTGCTTGTTTTATCTACTAGTATCAACAGGTCTTTAATCCTTAGAGGATAAAATATCTTTTGATTTTTTTTTTTAATTATTTTGAAAGCTAGGTTTATTTGAAGGGTTGTATGTTTGTTTTAGTTTGCATTTTGTCAGTTTTCTAAGGCTCTTCCAATGTTTTCAGCCATATGTTGGAGTGTATCTAAATTTGTTATTTTCCATTTTAATTTTCTTTTAGAAGTCCTGTATTTTATGTTTTAGCCTATTAACAAGACAGGGCAGGATTTTTATTATATTAGCTTTGGGTCTGTTCCACAATATAAAGTCTTGATGGCAGTTTTCTCAGGTCTCCTTCCTTCCACTCTTACTTTCTCTCTTCCTCTCTCTCCCCTCCGCTCCCACACAGGGTCTCTCCTGCAGTCTTGAACTACTCCTGGGTTCTAGCAGTCCTCCTTCCTTAGCCTCTTGTCTAGCTGGGACTACAGGCCAACTCTTTTTTTTTTTTTTTTCTCACTCCAGCCCTATTATTAGGCTTTTTTTTTTTTTTTTTTTTGAGACAGTCTCGCTTTGTCGCCAGGCGCCAGGCTGGAGTGCAGTGGCACAATCTTGGCTCACTGCAATCTCTGCCTCCTGAGTTCAAGAAATTCTCCTGCCTCAGCCTCCCAAGTAGCTGGGACTGCAGGCACACACCACCACACCCAGCTAATTTTTGTATTTTTTAGTGGGGGGGGAGGTGGTTTCATCATATTGGCCAGAATGGTTTCGATCTCTTGACCTTGTGATCTGCCCACCTTGGCCTCCCAAAGTGCTGGGATTACAGGCAGGAGGCACCGTCCCCAGCCAGGCATCTTTTTTTTTTTAGACACGCACTCAGTCTTTTGCCCAGGCTGGAGTGCAGAGGCATGATCTTAGTTCACTACATCTGCAGCTTCCTGAGTAGTTGGGACTACAGGTGTGTGCCACCACTCCTGGCTAACATTTTGTATTTTTTGTAGAGGTGGGATTTTGCTGTGTTGCCCAGGCTGGTCTTAAACTCTGGGACTCTGATGATCTACCTGTCTCGGCCTCCCAAAGGGCTGGGATTACAGGTGTGAGCCACTGTGCCTGGCCCACATTTTTTTTTTTTTTTTGTCGTTTCCTTAAAAAAGAAATTTTTTTTTAAAGAGACAGGGGCTACTCTGTTGTCTAGGGTGAGTGCAGTGGCACATACCTCACTGAAACCAAACTCCTGGGCTCAAGCCATCTTCCAGCCTTAGCCTCCCAAGTACCTAGGACTACAGGCACACACCACCACACCCAGCTAATTAAAAAAATTTTTGTGTGTGGAGATGGAATCTTGTTATACTGCCCAAGCTGATCTTGAATGTCTGGCCTCAAGCAGTCCGGTGAGCCACCATACACACCTAGTCTTTATGTCTTCTGGCTCTCTGTTGGCTTTAACTGTTAGCTCAACCTTAATTCAGTTTTTGTTGGCTTACCACAGGAAGCAACATTGTAGCAATTTTAAATGAGTATTAGGTCATCGGTTGTTTTTGGGGGAGAAGACCTTAGGAAAGGATAGTTCATTTAGGATTTTGGGGCAAGGGAATAGAGAAGAACAGAAGGAATATGTGCTGATGGTGATGCTAAAGCATGATAATGTCAGCTGCATAAGGAGGGCAAGTTTCAGATTGTTTGAGAGGTCCTTCCCCGCCCCCCCACCACCTCCGACTTTTGCAAGAGAATCTTCTTGGGATGCTATTTTCAAGTCCATTTTATTTTGAGACCTTGGCATGTAGGTAACAAAAGGCCATTGTATATTTGGTACTGTTTCTCCCTTCCTTTCTAGAGCTTCTCTTAGCTGTATTATCTTGATGTGCCCGAAATTCTCCGTAATAGCTGAGGTAACTAGAAATCATCCTTGGAGAAATTATGCCATCTAGCCTACTAAGCACAGTAATTTAGGATTATAGTAAGAATGCATGTAGCAGGAATTCTACCAGGAAAAGCTTGCAGCTTCACTTTGATTGACAAGAAGGGGTCGCCATAGCAGATGTCTAATAATGTTTATAAAATGGTGGCTACGTCCTGTGATTCAGTAATCAGACTCCCTGATTACCAGTCTGTTAACCTTTAGCTCCAGAGTACAGGAATCAGGGACATGTTGTGTCTTCAGGGAGGTGTGGGAATTTTTTTTGCCCACACTATCTACTGGACCACTCTACCTTAGTTGTCCATGAGTAACTGGAACTCAGTGTGTGTAGCAAGTGTACTGCTCTTCTAACCCATACTTTTCTTTCTGTGTTCTCTCTCAGTAAAAACTGGTTGTTTTCTCTGAGCCATATTTGACCCTTCTTTCTTATACATCACTTAGTGGTCTAATTCTCTCTTCCATGTTTAACTGCGTTAGTTCAGATAGTTAATATCATACAGGTTTTTAACAACTTTCTCTCACTGATCTTATTTTTGCTTTCTAGTCTTCTACCTTCTATACTACTCAAGTTTTTGTGATCTATTTGCTCATGTTACTCTCCTGTTTAAACTTTTAATATCTTCCAATCACAAGCATGCCCATACTGCTGCTGTAATTTGCCTAGAACCCGCTTTCTTTTGTATTTCCAGTCCACTGTAAGTAGTCTCTTTCTATTATATTAATTTTTTTCTTTAAGCTTGGATTGATAGTCTTTCTTTTTAAGGTTCATTTTATCTCTGCTAAAGCCTCCTTCACTTCTCAAATTCCCCTATCTATCGCTATAAAATTTCATATTTTTTTTCCTATATTTCTGTTTAGACTTTGTCTTATTGATTGTAGATTAGCTGTTTCCTTCTAGACAAGGGTTCTGGGGCAGTTGTGCTTGACGAGTCATAGGTATTTACTAAAAATTAGGATGACTGGGGTCACTTTATTTTTCTGTGCCCCAGAGGAGTGAGTTTTTTAAATCTACAAACTTTCCCACGTTTATACTAGATGTCCTTCTACTCAAAGACAAGCGGAGAAGTTGGTCTTATGCTGTTCAGTTCATTTATATCAGGAGAGGAGGCAGTATTAATCAGGGTGGTGAGAAGACTTTGAAATGGTGTCAGATGGGGAATAGGAGGAACTATGATATTTAGCCAAAAGGAAAGAAAAATCAGGTGGAATATGATACCACTTTTTAAATATTTGAAAGTCTTTTGTAGAAAAGTTTTCAGACATCATTATTATTATTAGTTTGTCTTCAGAGGGCAGCTATAGGATGAATAGGTAGCAGTTTAGGTTTCTACATTAAGAAAGCTTTCTGAACATGAGGTGTAGGGATTTTTTTCGTGAGTAAGCTGTGAAAGAGACAGAATGACTAGTGGTTTAAAGGGCTATAAAGCAGATTTTTTTTATCTTGGACAACGTTGGACTAGATAGCTATGCTGAAGAATCTGAAATTTTCCTGATTTTGTTCTAAGTTCCATGACCATGAATTTCATAAAAATATTTATTGTTTTGGGTGAAAACAATCTGCTGTACATTTCAGTAGTAATTAAGCCCTTTGATATGTTAAACACTTCCTGTATGCCAGCTCTTGGGCATTTGGAAGTCAGTAGTAGCCTTTTACTGTCAAGTAGTTCATATTTATAAGTGTAAAGATTCCTGAGTTTTTCTTCTTTTTAATTTTTGAGAACCAGTGAATAATTTGTTTTTAATTAAGATTAACAATTCCTAAAAATCAGTTTTGAGATTTACTTCCTGTCTTAATTCATTCAGCCTGATAAAACAAAATACTTTAGGCTGGGTAATTTATAAGCAATAGAAATATATTAGAGTTCTGGAGACTGGGAATTCCAAGATCATGGCACCAGCAGATGCAGGGTCTGGTGAGGGCCTGTTCCTTATAGATGCTTCTCTGTGTCCAAACATACTCAAAAAGCCAAAAAATTCCCTTGGCACTAATTTCATTCATGAAAGTGGAGCCCTTATAATTACCCCCCAAAGTCCCCACCTCTTAATACTATTGCATTGAGGTTAGATTTCAACATAGGAATTTTGGTTGAACACATACATTCATACCATAGCACTTCCCTTTCAAACACTAAAATTGTTTTTGTCTCTTATTTCTAGCAATGTCTCAGGCTGTGCAGACAAACGGAACTCAACCATTAAGCAAAACATGGGAGCTCAGTTTATATGAATTACAACGAACACCTCAGGTAATGACTTAAGATGATTGCTAAGGGGCATATGAGGCATGTAAACTGGGATAAATTTTTAGAACATGAAAACGTAAATAGAAATACAGTAATAATACCTTTTGTGCAAGCATTCCTGACTTCTGTATGTTGGCTAACACTTTGTTCACTGATTCAACAAATAATTTGAATATTCTATATAAGCTCTTGTGGTAGGTACTGGGTGAACAGTGGTGAATAAAACAGAGGTAGCACCAACCATGGACTTTACAGACATTGGAAAAAATAAGTATCTATTCACATGTGAGAAGCTATCTATCTAAAATTCACATGTGAGAAGTTATAGAAAGTTGGGCGAGTCCTCCTTACTCTAATAAGTACTGATAAGGTTCCAAGGAAGACTGTTTTGAGATGATGGCAAAGACTAGGGGAGGAGCAGGTTTGAAGGCAATAACCATGCCTAATACTGGACTAATTTTGAGATTCCTATGCAACAGGCAGGCAGAGATGCTAACTAGAGATAATTTTTATATTAGTCTGAACTAAATGTAAAATTTTAGGGATTGACAGCACATTTTAAGCAATAGGAATGGATAAAATCATCCAGAGAGATGAGCAGAGGACCTATAACTTCATCCAGAGCTGCTTCAACATTTAGAAATTAGGTAATGGGGGGAGAACGATCCAAGATGGCTGATCGCTAACATCCCGGGATTGCAGCTCTCAGGGAAGGCACGGAGAACTAGAGGACGCCACACTTTCAGACAAATTCTGGTCGCTCACGGAGCAGAAGATCCCCCAGTGGAGGAAACACACGGGTGGCCAGCGCGACTCTCGTGGCCGGCACAGTGGTTCCGCCGGCACCTCGGCGCGGCAGCTCTCTGAGCAGAGTAAACAGGTTTGGAGGACCCGCACGGGTCCCCAGCAGGACACCAGAGCCCGGCGCAGCGGCTGCGACGGCACCTCGGCGCAGCGGCTGCGACGGCACCTCGGCGCGGCAGCGCTCGGCGCAGAGTAAACGGGACGGGTTCCCCTTCTGACCGAGGTTTGGAGTCCTGGGAAGGCAGAGTTGCCTACTACGGACACAAGAAGGAAGCCAGAGAGGAGAATCCTGGGCAGAAAAGCACCATCAGTTTTAACGCCGCTGCTCTGGCCCTGGGAACTAACAACCTGGACATCCACTCAAGAGACCTAATCTGAAAGTTGGTAATTTCAAAGACGACAGGAGGATAAATTTACAATGACGGGAAGAAACCAGCATAAAAAAGCTGAGAATACTCAAAGTCAGAAGCCTCTCCCTCTAAAGATGATCACAGTTCCACATCAACAATGGAACAAGGCTTGATGGAGAACGAGCGCCTCCTGATGACAGAATCACTCTTCAAGGAATGGATAATAACAAACTTCGGTGAGTTAAAAGAACATGTTGTAGCCCAACGTAAAGAAACTAGGAACTTTGAAAAAAGGTTTGATGAAATCCTATTGAGAATAGACAACTTAGAGAGGAGTATGAGTGAATTAATGGAACTGAAGAATACAATACAGGAACTCCGAGAAGTATGCACAGGTTTAAACACTCGAATTGTTCAAGCAGAAAAAGGGATATCAGAGGTCAAAGTCCAACTGAATGAAATAAAACGTGAAGAAAAGATTAGAGAAAAAAGGATAAAAAGGAATGAGCAAAGTCTCCAAGAAATGTGGGACTATGTGAAAAGACCAAATTTACGTTTGATAGGTGTACCTGAATGCGACGGAGAGAATGAATCCAAGCTGGAAAATACCCTTCAGGATATTATTCAGGAAAATTTTCCTAAACTAGCAAAGCAGGTCCACATTCAACCCCAGGTAATACAGAGAACACCACAAAGATATTCCTCAAGAACAACAACCCCAAGGCACATAATCGTTAGATTCACCAGGGTTGAAACGAAGGAGAAAATACTAAGGGCAGCCAGAGAGAAAGGTCAGGTTACCCACAAAGGCAAGCCTATCAGACTTACAGCAGATCTCTCAGCAGAAACTCTACAAGCCAGAAGAGAGTGGGGGCCAATATTCAACATCCTCAAAGAACAGAACCTTCAGCCCAGAATTTCATATCCAGCCAAACTAAGCTTCACAACTGAAGGCAAAATAAAATCTTTTATGAACAAGCAAGAACTCAGAGATTTTATTACCACCAGGCCTGCTTTACAAGAGCTTCTGAAAGAAGCATTACACACAGAAAGAAACAACCAGTATTAGCCTTTCTAAAAATACACCAAAAAGTAAAGAGCACCAACATAAAGAAGAATTTACATCAACGAATGGATAAAACAGCCAGTCAACATCAAATGGCATGTTACATCCAGACCTGTTTCACATGCAAGGATACACAAAGACTCAAAACAAAGGGATGGAGAAAGTTTTACCAACCAAATGGAGAGCAAAAATAAATAATAAATAAATAAATAAAAAGCAGGAGTTGCAATTCTCGTATCGGATAAAATAGATTTTAAAGCAACAAAGATATAGTGGTAAAAGGATCAGTGCAACAACAAGAGCTAACGATCCTAACACCCAGATACATAGAGACTTAGAGACAATGAGACAGAAAATTAATAAGAATATCAAGGACTCGAACTGAGATCCGGAACAAGTAAACTTAATAAATATTTATAGAGCTCTCCACTTCAAATACACAAAATATACATTCTTGTCAATACCACATCACATCTACCCATAAGCTTAAATGAAACATTGATTGGCCATTATTAATACCCAATTTTTTTCAAAATAAAGCAATATTTCCATTTACTCTCCCTCTTTCTCTTCCTCTTTCTTCCTCTCCTTTACTTATTTTTTTTTTTCTTTCCTTCTCTCAAAAAAAAAGAAATCAACTTGTAAACCTCTAGATCCAGGTCGGCAATGTCTCTCTCATTGCTTGAATTCCTTCCTTCCCTTCCCTCCCTCCCTCCCTCCCTGCTTCCTCCCTTCCTTCCTTCCTTCCTTCATCCCTTCCTTCCTCCCTACCGTCCTTCTTCCCTCCCTTCCTGCCTTCCTCCCTCCCCCCCAAAAAAAAAAAAAAGAAATTAGGTAATGGACAAGGAGCTAGTGAAGGAGACTGAGAGGAACATCCAGAGAAAAGGAAGGAAAAACAGGAGATTGGGAGAGAGGGGGATTTAAAAGCTAAGGGAAGTATTTGAAGGATGATATAGTTAATGTGTTTAACACTAGTGACAGGCTGAATAAGCTGAAGATTAGAAAGGTGTAAATACCACTTGACAATACAGTTGGCCCTCCCCATACATGGGTTCTGCATCTGTAGATTCAAGCAACCATAATCGAAAAAATTCAGGAACAAAAAATTTTCACAAAGTCCCAAAAACCAAAACTTGAATTCTTTGTGTGCCAAGTATGTTGAATCCATGCAGATAAGGTGCTGTATGGGCATTGTATTACAAGTAATTTAGAGATGATTTAAAGCAGTAGTCCCAGGGACCAGTTTCATGGATGTCAATTTTTCCATGGATCAGAGTGGGTGAGTGGGAGATGGTTTCAGGATGAAACTGTACCACCTCAAATCATCAGTCATTAGATTCTAATAAGGAGCACACAACCTGGCACCCTTGCATGTGCGGTTCTCAGTAGGGTTCACATTCTTAGGAGAATCTAATACCACCACTGATCTGACAGGAGGCAGAGCTTAAGCGGTCATGCTTACTCACCAGCTACTCACCTCCTACTGTGCGGTCTGGTTCCTACCAGGCCAGTACCTGTCTACGGCCTGATGGTTGGGGACCCCTGATTTAAAGTACATGGGAGAATTTGCCTAATTTATATGCAAATATCATGCCATTTTTTATAAGAGATTTGAGCATCCAAGGATTTTGATGTATGTGGAAGTTCCTGGAGCTAATCCCCCCATGGATGCCAAGGGTCGACTGTATGTATTTGGTGACCTTGACAAGAGCAAATTAACCTGAGTAGATTGTACAGGTTGAGGGCTGAATGGAATCATGATGCATTCTCATCATTGGTTCACATGATGAATATAGTATATATATGATAATTATATATATATGGTCTAGTAAGGGGAGGGTAGAAGTGAGAAAAGATGAATAGGCAGTTCTTCAGAGAAATTTGGGTATGCAATGTGAAATTAAGTTTTCAATTTTGTTTACAAGGTGGAGATAGAGGCTGGGTGTGGTGGCTCATGCCTGTAATCCCAGCACTTTGGGAGGCCAAGGCGGGTGGCTCACCTGAGGTCAAGAGTTGATGACCAGCCTGGCTGACATGGTGAAACTCCATCTCTTCTAAAAATACAAAAAATTAGCCTGATGTGGTAGCGAGTGCCTGTAATCCCAGCTACTCAGGAGGCTGAGGCAGGAGAATCGCTTGAACACGTGAGGTGGAGGTTGCAGTGAACTAAGATCGCGCCATTGTACTGCAGCTTGGGCAACCAGAGCAAAACTCCGTCTCAAAACAAGAGAAAGATGGAGATAGAGTGCCCATCTTCCCTCTCCCCTTGCATAGCTCTAGGGTGCATCATTCATGTTTTACTGTGCGCAGCCTAAGTTGAGATTCCAATCTCTTAGGCTGATTCAGTGGAGAAGGAGAGATTGCTGAAGCCTGAGAGCAAACAGAATAATAAAAAGAAGCATGTCTTTGAGAAGGTACAAAGGAATATAGCTTTGATAGGAATAGGTATATAGTTTCTCCTTTTAACAAGAAAGAAGATGATGTATAGATTTGGTAGAGAGGAAATGAAGGAACTCTCTTTTAATGAAATATCTCGATAAATTGAGGTAAGGTAGTTTATTGAAAGTGCAGATGGAAAAAGGTCAGCAGATAAAGGAAAAGGTGTAAAATAGTGTATAGAAAGGAAAATAAACCAGTTGCTGAGCAGTATTGAACACCCATATGAGGCTTGTAAAATGTTTAGTTCTACCAAGGTGGTTTTCCCTTTTTCTTTTCTCCCACAGTGCTACACATCTGCACAGGTACAGCCCTGGAGGAGAACGTAGAGGGTTGAATTTATCTGGGGTTGGGATTTTGTTCGATGTGTTCTAAAGGAGAGGAGAGCACACTTGATTACTCTCTGGGTCATCAGTATACTCTGAGTGATAGTTTCCTAAATCAAAAGTTTGTCTAAGTGTTAAATGAAGAGAAAAAAAAGAAATATTTATTTATATTTATATATATTCATATTTATGTAATTTATTTATATAGAGAGGCTGAAATCTAACAAGCATATTTTATTAATAGTTGAGCGCTTTATGAACAACAGCTATAGTTTCTATGTTTTTCTTTTTGGAGTAATCCATCTCTGACCATATAAAGAAAGCACAAGTATGATGAACTGCCAGTGGAAACAGAAAGCACTGGAGCCTATTGAAAGCTGCTTATTTAAACCTGCATCTTGCTTTACAATTCTCACCATGCTAGAACTCTCCTCAATCTATAGGAGTTGATATTGGTAGCATTAGAGCTGAGCAATCTCTATTCTCACTGCCAGCTTGTGTGGAGGATGGGTAATGTTGATGAAGCAAGTAGGATTCACTAATCACTCTGCAGCAGGGGAAGATATGTCCTGAAATTTTACACTGGAACTCCAGTTGCATTTGGAGACAAACATTTTTAGGCATGACAATTAGATACAGCAATACGTTTTATACTTCGGTTATATTCTGGTTTAAATCAGCTTCTGGAGAGAAGCTAACTGCTTTGTATAAAATTGGTCTGTGGAAAAGAATTTTGGGGGTTCAACAATATTTGAAAATGAAAATTCTATTAAGCTATTTATAAACTAGAGAATATTGGAATCTTATTTTAATGGGCAGCATGAAACAATTTATTGTGAAAATGGTGTCACTTTTGAAGATGGATATATTCTGAGGGTTATTTTAGCAGTTTCTCCTTTTACAGGTAAGAAAGCAATGTTAAATAATGGTTTAGACTCAGTTAATATGACTAGAATTAGATCAAATCTGAGATACACAGTTCTAAATTCAGTGCTTTTTTATTATACCAGGCTAATTACCCACTAGTTATCTTTTAAATACCTTAATATCTTATTTTTAGCATTTTAAAGTTAAGAGCATTTATATAATGTAGTGATGGTGGGGGCTGAGGGGAGCTGTAGGCAGTTATAGCCAAAACAAAATTAGCTGTGAGTTGACAATGGTTGTGGCTGGCTGATGAGTACGTATAATGTTCATTTTTTTTTTTTTTTTTTTACCATTTCCAGTACTTTTATACGTTTGAACTTGTCCATAATAAAAAAAATGAAGTGGCTTTTAATTTTGAAGTAATTCTCTTACAGGAGGCAATAACAGATGGCTTAGAAATTGTGGTTTCACCTCGAAGTCTACACAGTGAATTAATGTGCCCAATTTGTTTGGATATGCTGAAGAACACCATGACTACAAAGGAGTGTTTGCATCGTTTTTGTGCAGACTGTATCATCACAGCCCTTAGAAGTGGGTATGTTGAAAAGACTTACTACACTAGGTACTTAAATTGTACCATGGGAGTGCTTTCCGGGGTTTGAGAAACACATTTTCTTTTTTTCTTCCTCCTTTGTTGTTGTTGCTGTTGTTGTTGAGATGGTGTTTCGCTCTTCTTGCCCAAGCTTGAGTGCCATAGCGCGATCTTGGCTCACTGCAACCTCCACCTCCTGGGTTCAAGCCATTATCCTGCCTCAGCCTCCTGAGTAGCTGGGATTACAGGCATCTGCCACCATGCCTGGCTATTTTGTTTTATTTTTTTGTTTTTTTAGTAGAGACAGGATTTTACCATGTTGGCCAGGCTGGTCTCGAACTCCTGACCTCAGGTGATCCAGCCACTTCAGCCTCCTAAAGTGCTAGATTACAGACTTGAGCCCACTGCATCTGGCTGAGAAATATATTTTCTTTTCTTTTTTTGAGATGGAATCTTGTTCTGTTGCCCAGGCTGTAGTGCAGTGGTGCAATCTTGGCTCACTGCAACCTCTGCCTCCCAAGTTCAAGCAATTCTCCTGCCTCAGCCTCTTGAGTACCTGGGATTACAGGTGCGTGCCACCATGTCCGGCTAATTTTTGTGTTTCTAGTAGAGATGGGGTTTCACCATGTTGGTCAGGCTGGTCTCGAACTCCTGGCCTCATGATCCACCTGCGTCGGCCTCCCAAAGTGCTGGGATTGCAGGTGTGAGCCACTGTGCTTGGCTGAGATATACATTTTCTATAAGTATTTGATTGAAAATTAGAAATCTTTCTCAAGTCACTAAGTTTTAATTATGGGAAAATCTTTGTTTTGAGATTGCTGATTTTTAGAAGTTTCATAGGATGAGTATTTGCTTTGAGGAAATTACAAAGCATAAAACCATGATTTTTCTACTTAAGTATATAAAATAATATTCTTATGAAAGTATTATTTCAGTAAAACAACTTCTTACAGATAAATATGTATGTGTGTGTGTATATAAACATGTATGTATATATATATGTTTATGGTTTTTTTTTTCATATAAAGCATGGTTATCAGAAAGGGGAAATTTAGAAAAGAATAGATTTTTATTTCTAAGATGGTTATGTATAAATTATCTTGGGAAATACTCAATTTTTTTCTTTTGATGAGTGGTATAGAGTGAGGTTTCTAAAATCTTGCTTACCCACTAGTCAGATGTTCAAGGAAATTCAAGTTAATCAGTTTAAATTTCTGTGACTTATTAAAGGTGTTGGAATAAAGGTGATAACTATCCAGAAGCTGTATTTTTTTTGTCTTTAGCCCAAAGATACTAGGATTGTTTACATTTGCTTTCCCCTCCTTTTATTTAGCAACAAAGAATGCCCTACCTGTCGGAAAAAACTAGTTTCCAAAAGATCACTAAGGCCAGACCCAAACTTTGATGCACTCATCAGCAAAATTTATCCAAGTCGTGATGAGTATGAAGCTCATCAAGAGAGAGTATTAGCCAGGATCAACAAGCACAATAATCAGCAAGCACTCAGTCACAGCATTGAGGAAGGACTGAAGATACAGGCCATGAACAGGTATATGGGAAAGAGGGTCAGAGAGGGTAGCTGTTTTTCTGAATATGTTATTAAATATTAAATTTACTTTTGAAAAAGGTAAAATACAGTTAAGAAATAGTAGACTACCTGATTACCTTTTGTGTAGGTGTAATAGATGCCTCCAGGTATAAAGGGTATTTCATTTAAAATACTAAAATCTCTCTTGTACCTACTTCTTTCTCGACTTACCGTTCTATTTCTTCTCTTATCTTTATAGCAAGATAAGATATAGAAAGAGTTGTATCTCCAGTTCTTTTTCCATTCTTTCATGAACCCCCTCCATTCATCCTCACCACCCCATCATATTGCCCTTATCCACATTATTAGTGACCTCTTCATTCTGCCATCTAATGGCTGATTCTCAGACTTCATCTTACTTAGCAGCATTTGACACAATTAATTTCTAACTTCTCTGTGAATAATTTTCTTCACCTGGTTCCCTTTATATGCCATTAGGTGTTCCTTCACCTGTTTATTTTAATTTCCCAAACTCTTAAAGGTGGAGTGTCCCAGGGAATAGTGTTTCTCAGTACAAAATCTGACTCCAGATTATCTTATACAGTTTCATAGTTTAATTTACTATCTATATGCTGATGAGTCCCAAATTTATATATCCAGCCCAGACTTACCTGAAATTTCAACACATCTCCTTTTGGGTATCTAATAAACATCTCAGACTTAACATAATCAGTACTGAACTTACCCCCTACTTCTCTTTGTTCTTACTCATTTTAGTTGATGGCAACTCTGTCATTCCACCTGCTTAAGCAAAAAACCTTGGAGTCTTTTTTAAATCTCTTTCACACATCCTCTATTCCAATCTGTAAATAGATAAATATTTTTCCTTTCTGCATAGTATATCTAGATTCATTCAGGCCGTAACAGTCTTTCATTTGATGTATTGAAGTAAGTTCGCAACTGGTTATTTTACTTCCCATGCTTACTCCCACATAGTCTGTTCTCAGCATAGCAGCCAGAAATCCTGTTTGTTTTGTTTTGAGATGGAGACTTGCTCTTTTTGCCCAGACTGGAGTACAGTGGCACAATCTTGGCTCATTGCAGGCTCTGCCTCCTGGGTTCAAGCAATTCTCCAGCCTCAGCCTCCTGAGTAGCTGGGAGTACAGGTGCCTGCCACCATGCCAGGCTAATTTTTTGTAAATTTTTTTTTTTTTAGTAGAGACAGGGTTTCTCCATTTTGGTCAGGCTGGTCTCAAACTCTCGACCTCAGGTGATCCAACCACCTCAGCCTCCCAAAGTGCTGGGATTACAGTCATGAGCCACAGAACCTGGCCCTTAGAGATACTGTTAAATTGAGAGGAAGATCATGGTTTTCCTTTGCTTGGAGCCGTCTAATAGGATAAAAACCAAAAGACTTTAATGATGGCTTCCAAGACCCGTAAAATCTGGGCATTTTCCCTTACCCTCATCCTTTTTTCCTCTCTGACATTATCATCTCATTTCTTCAGGTCTGAAGGATAATCATCATTTTCCACAGAAGGAGATAATAAAGCCCCATCTCAGTCTGGTGGTTTTCGCCTTGGCTGAACATCAGACTCACTCAGAAAGCTTTTAAATTGCAAGGCTTGTCCTGCTTTTAAGGTTCTGTAAATGATTGTGCTTTTAAGGTTCTGTAGATGATTGTGGAGTGTAGACAAGGTCAAAAACCACTGGCTTAAAGGTTCAAAGATGTGCTCCATTCTAACAGTATTAAACTGACCTATCACTCTATTTATCAAAGTATAATAAAGTACTAAATGTTAAATGTATTTATTTTTAAAATAATTTTACATTCCTAAGAGTTGGAAGGACTTCAGTGGTTACTCACCATAGCCTTTTAGTAAAAGCAAGACTGTCCTTTGTATATATTCCTTCGAATTTGCTTATACATTTCTAGTAGTGGGGCTATGTGATAGGCACTCCTTTTTTTGTTGGCGACTTTATTACAGCTTCCTTACTGTTCTTCAGACACTCCAAGAAGTGTTTGACTTTCCAAGAACCTTTCCAAGAAAGGTTCTGACTCAGAGCCTTTGTACTTACAGTACTCTTTTTCAGAAACCCTCCTTTTCAAGGTAATCCACGTGGCACACTACCTCACTTTCTTAGCAGGTGTCTGCTTAAGTTCTCAGCTTCCATTCTAGGACTCTGTACTTCCTTGCCTCATTTTTTTCTCCATAGTACCTATCACTCTGATATGTTACCTGCTACACTAGAATATGGGAAGAGACTATGTCAGTATCATTGACTTTTTTTTTTTTTTTTTTTCAACGGAGTCTCACTCTTTCATCCTGGCTGGAGTGCAGTGGCACAATCTTGGCTCGCTGCAACCTCTGCCTCCTGGGTTCAAGCAGTTCCCTGCCTCAGCCTCCCTAGTAACTGGGACTACAGGCGCCCTCCACCATGCCCGGCTAATTTTTGTATTTTTAGTAGAGACAGGGTTTTACCATCTTGGCCAGGCTGGTCTTGAACTCCTGACCTCACTGACTTGGTCTCCCAAAGTGCTGGGATTACAGGCATGAGCCACCGTGTGCAGCCTCATTGACTCTTATAACACCATTATTTAGAACCGCGCTTGGCTTAAAGTAGTAGCTGCTCAGTAAATGTTTTTCGACGTGTGAATTTTTGTTTACATTCTTCCTTTATATCGAATTAAAATTAGTCTCTTGTGTGCACCAGTCTGAATTTGTCTTAGGTTGAAATACTTATGTTGACTTTTACACATATTTCAGATTCTACTTCTTTGTTTTCAGACATTTTTATATATAGATATATGTTTGTACATATTCCTCTTAAGGCTTAATATTCACCTTCCTTATTTCTTTTTTGTTCCTCATGACACTCAAGATTGGTGTCATTCTTAAAGTGCTACCATCAGGACAGTATGTAATATTATAGATGTGATTTGATAAATATAGGATATAATAGACTAGTAATGTCTTTTATATGAACATTATTCTTTAAATGCTGCCTGCAGTTACATTAATGTAGCTCTGTCACATCAGTCCGTTTTTGGAAAGAGTTGTGGGATAAAAATATATTGAGTCTTAATAAACCTGTTAGGTCATTGTAATTTATGGTCAACTAAAATAACTTTTCGTTTGCTTTAGTTGTAGATTTTAGAAGTTATTTTAGTCTTTATATTGGCTCTTAATTTTTTGTCTCATCATTTTAGCCTGTTTATGCTTTCTTTTTTTCTAGAAATTGTGGTAAAAGACATAGAATTTTCCATCTTAACCATTTGTAAGCATAGAGTTTAGTAGTGTTAAGTACATTCTTTTTTTTTTAAAATTATTGACTCCCCAAAGCTGAACATTCACAATGTTGCGCAGCCAATCTATAGAACTCTTTTCATTTTATAAAATTGAAACCCTGTATCCATTAAGCACTAACTCCTCATTCCCCCCCCTCCACCACCACCTCCCACCCCCTTCCTGGTAACTGTCATTCTACTTTGTTTCATGAATTTCCCTTGTTTAGATAACCTCATCTAAGTGGAATCATGCAGTATTTGTACTTTTGGGTTTTTTGTTGTTGTTACTTAGTAGTAGTAGTATTTCTCTTTTTACTTGACCAGAGGCCACCAAGTTAAGTATTTGTACTTTTGTGACTGGTTTATTTTACTTAAATGTCCTCAGTATGACTATTCATATTGTAGTATGTGGCAGGATTTCCTTCCTTTTTAGGGATGAATAATATTCTACTGTGTATGCTTATATATTTTTGAATCATAGTTTGTTATTTAGCATACTAGTCATCCCCTCTTAGTTTTGCAGTAATCTATAGATTTTGTAAGCAGGATTTTTTTTTTTTTTTAATATGAGTTCTTGAGCATCTTTCCTAACCATTGGACTGTTATTTCCTTGTCCTGGCAATAAACATAATGACAGTATTTTTACAAGTGCCAGGCATTCTTTTATATTTCTTTTACATCATGTATTCCTTCTTTTTTCTTTTTTTTTTTTTTGAGATGGAGTCATGCATTGTTGCCCAGGCTGTAGTGCAGTGGCACAATCTCGGCTCACAGCAGCCTCTGCCACCTGAGTTCAGACAGTTCTCCTGCCTCAGCCTCTCGAGCAGCTGGGACTACAGGCATGTGCCACCATGCCCAGCTTTTTTTTTTTTTTTTTTTGTATATTTTTATAGAGACATGGTTTTGTAGAGACCATGTTGGCCAGAATGGTCTTGATCTCCTGATCTCGTGATCCTCCTACCTCGGCCTCCCAAAGTGCTACAGGCATGAGTTACTGCACCCGGCCTCTTTTTTCTTTTATGTACAGGTAGAGAGACAGACAATGTGGTAGAAAGAATGTTGTCTGGTTCACATCCTAGCTCTAGCTCTGGCACTTATTAGTTGTATAACGGTGAACAAATTATTTAATCTCGTACCTAAGTTTCTTTGCTTTTCTCAACTAGAAAATGACAGTAATGGTAACTGCCTTGACAGGTTGTTTTGGAGAGTAAACAAGATTGTATGTATAAAGTGCATTGCCCTACCAGTAATTGGTTTTAGTATCTGAGCTTGTTAAAGAGCAGCTTCTGTGTCCACATTGGCTATTTAGATACCATCACATTTTCCTCAGTAGAATCATTTTGCATCACTGTAGCTGACTTTGAGGAAGGTCAGCAGGGAGGAAGTACTTACTCTTCTTCTTAAATCTTGTTCCTTAAGAATTTCTAATTAGAGAGGCATAAGTATCTTCCCTAAGATGTTTTACGTTTTTGTATCTGAATCATAACCTTTCTTCAGACCTGTAATCTCATGAGAGAAAATGCTCAGAATATAGAAATTTGCCAATAATTCTTACAGTCTTCTAATAAAGAAAATTATTTTTAAGATATGGCATCAGCCAGACCTGGTGGCTCACACCTGTAATCCCAGCACTTTGGGAGGCTGAGGCGGGCAGATGATGAGGTCAGTAGTTTGAGACTAGCCTGGCCAATATGGTGAAACCCTGTCTCTACTAAAAAAAAAAAAAAACCACGAAAATTAGCTGGGCGTGGTGGTGCGTGCCTGTAGTCCCAATTACTTAGGAGGCTGAGGCAGGAGAATTGCTTGAACCTAGGAGCAGAGGTTGCAGTGAGCTGAGATTGCACCACTGCACTCCAGCCTGGGCAACAGAGTGAGACTCCATCTCAAAAAAAGAAAAGAAAAAAAGAGAGAGAGTGTCTCACTCTGGCCCAGGCCAGAGTACAGTGGAGCAATGCTAGTTCACTCCATCCTTGAACTCCTGGGCTCAAGCCATTCATTTTTCTGTCTCAGCCTCCTGAGTAGCTGAGAATGATGATGATAGGTGTACACCACCATGCCCTTAGTAATTAATTTTTTTTTTTTTGTTGGTAGAGATAGGGTCTCAAATTCCTGGCCTCAATTTCCTCCCACTTTGGCCTCTCAAAGTGTTGGGATTACAGGTGTAATTTTACATGTTTGGCCAGTAAAATTATTAAATGAGTAGAAACATTCATAAAATCATTTAAATAATAGTCTGTGAGTGAGAGAGATTTTTTTAGACCTTTCAGAAACGGGTGGGAAACAATGTCATCCAACTCAGAGGAAATTCAGTTACCAATATTTTTTAGAATTTTAAAGTTCAATAGCAGATATGCTTCAAATTTGTTGCTTTAAAGGCCTAAAAGTAAACTTTATGCATCCTTTTCTCCCCCTTGACTAGACTGCAGCGAGGCAAGAAACAACAGATTGAAAATGGTAGTGGAGCAGAAGATAATGGTGACAGTTCACACTGTAGTAATGCTTCCACACATAGCAATCAGGAAGCAGGCCCTAGTAACAAACGGACCAAAACATCTGATGATTCTGGGCTTGAGCTTGATAATAACAATGCAGCAGTGGCAATTGATCCAGTAATGGATGGTGCTAGTGAAATTGAATTAGTATTCAGGCCTCACCCCACACTTATGGAAAAAGATGACAGTGCACAGACAAGGTAAGTATATGGATTAGTTTCAGATTATCTAAATTCAGAATGTTTAATTTGGAGGTAAAAGGCAGTCTTGTGTAAGAAGTAGGAGTAATATTTGTCATCACATTGATTGTGGGGGTTCAGTTACTAGCCGTCTAGATTGTTGTATTCTTTTTTCCTCCCTCATGTGCTTACCACTCAAAGTTGCACATCTGAAAGGAATGACTCTCCTTGGTAGAGAAGGAAAAGGGAGCCAGTCAAATTTCTTAAGTGTTACTAGAGGAACAATAGGCTCTAAAACTCTTGCTGGCAAGAATGGCTGCTTTATTACTGTCTCTCCAGCACACTGCCTGCCATTGAGTGCAGGTAAACATCAAATATTTATTGAATGAGGGATTGAATGATGTATTATGCTTTAAAAATCCCCAAATTAACATTTCTGGCTTTTTTTGAGACAGAGTCTCACTTGTCGCCAGGCTGGAGTGCAGTGGCACAATCTCGGCTCAGCCTCTGCAACTCTGCCACTGGGTTCAGGTGATTCTCCTGCCTCAGCCTTCTGAGTGGCTGGGACTACAAGCGCTCAACAACACGCCCAGCTGAATTTTGTATTTTTAGTAGAGACAGGGTTTTGCCACGTTGGCCACGATGGTCTTGATCTTTTGACCTTGTGATCCACCCACCTCATCTTCCCAAAGGGCTGGAATTACAGGTGTGAGCCATCGAGCCTGCCACCCCGCCTTTTTTTTTTTTTTTTGAAACGGAGTCTTGCTCTGTAACCCAGGCTGGAGTGCAGTGGCATGATCTCGGCTCACTACAACCTCTGCCTCCTGGGTTCAGGCGAACCCTGCCTTAGCCTCCCGGGTAACTGGGATTACAGGTGCCCACCACCACACCCAGCTAATTTTTGTATTTTTTAGTAAAGGTGGGGGTTTTGCCATGTTGCACAGGCTGGTCTCGAATTCCTGACCACAAGTGATCCCCCCACCTCAGCCTCGCAAAGTGCCCACCCAGCCCAAATTAATATTTCTATGCTTAGTCTTAAAAAAGACATTTTAATTCTTAGACAATAAGAAATTTGCTCCTATCCTGTTTCTCTTACTGCTACAGCCAGCAGATTCTGGTCATTAGGGTTTGAGGGATATGTTGTTCCTTTTTCCCCTTTAGTACTTTGTATATTTCTGTTTGATTTTTGGCACTGTGTATCATATTTTGCAGAAGATAAGATAGGTGAAGTTTTTATGGCCTGCCAGCAAGATGTTGAGTGTGTACTTTCCCCTCTTCTGTACTTATCAATAAGAAATTTAGATTGTAGAGCAGTAAATTTATGATATTATTTTGTCAATAATTGAGACATATCCATCTTAGTTCTTAAGAAATGTATTAGTTCCATAATTTAAGTACATTTTTCTCATTGGCATATTCTAGAAATGAAATTTTTAATGATTTATTCTTCCAGATACATAAAGACTTCAGGTAACGCCACTGTTGATCACTTATCCAAGTATCTGGCTGTGAGGTTAGCTTTAGAAGAACTTCGAAGCAAAGGTGAATCAAACCAGATGAACCTTGATACAGCCAGTGAGAAGCAGTATACCATTTATATAGCAACAGCCAGTGGCCAGTTCACTGTGAGTATTTAAAATAATAGACTGTTGAAACTGGGAGCACATTGACAAACTGAGTGGCAAATGGTGGGGTAGAATCTAATAAATAATGTAAAAAACCGCAACACAATGTTAAATGACAAGTAGTTATTCCTAAGATTTGAAAAAAAAAAAGATTCTGTGGACTTCTATTTTCTTTTCATTATTATTGTGGTTTCAGCAGTTTTCCTAATTTCTTTTTTGTTTTAGGTATTGAATGGCTCTTTTTCTTTGGAATTGGTGAGTGAGAAATACTGGAAAGTGAACAAACCTATGGAACTTTACTACGCACCTACAAAGGAGCACAAATGAGCTTTTAAAAACCAATTCTGAGACTGAATTTTTTATAGCCTATTTCTTTAATATTAAAGATGTACTGGCATTATTTACTTTTATGGACAGATCTTGGATGTGTTGTTCAGTTTCCTTTCTGAGCCAGACTTGTTTACACTATTCAGATCTTTTACCCTTAATTTAAGATTTCCTTTTCGGCTAGGATTGCATTTATTCAGTACTTTTTTCTTTCCTTTAAAAAATATATCTAAAGTTTCATGTGTTTTTTTCCCCCCACCACAAAGTGTGGTTCCACGTGGAGCACCTTTTTGACCCAGGAATTTTTCATAGTTTCTGAATTCTTAAAGATTCAGTTGGCTGTCCTTTTCCCACTTCCCTCAAAAGGTTTTTAGTCCTATAGAATGTTAAATATTATGTATTCTGACTCCCCCCCCCCCCCGGAGTCTTGTATATTTATAGTTTTCTATATAAATTGTAATATCTTCATGAAGACCCAAGGCTCAAATTTACTGTCCTTAAAAACAATTCTCATAGGATTATTCTTTTCATGGTATTTTCTTCCATAATATTTCATTTTAAAAAGAAGTTCTTTATGAACTTAGTGTCCATTGTCATGCAGTGTTATTTTTTTCCATTCTTTTTCCCTGTAATTTTGGAATTTCTGGTCCTGGAAAGCATGAAACAAAATCTTAAGTTCTGTGAGAACTTGGTTCATTGACAGACTTAACTGAAGAAAGAAAAATTAAATTGGTAGTAAAATAATAGTTTTCAAGTGTATATTTGAGAGTGCTTTCTTTGTATTAGTTCTGCTGTCACTTAATTTCCTTTTTTATATGTGATGTTTTCCCCCATTAAAATACCAGAGATAATGGAGATATTTTGCACTTTAGCCTTGATGAAAAGTACAAGATATATTCAAAACTTCTCTAATTTTTTTCTTATTTGTAGCCACGTAAGTTTCAAGAATAACATGGCACATACAACAATCGGAAAAAGTTTGTTTCCATTTGAAAGGTATATCATTTTGGGCTGCCAGCTCAGTTTATAAATTTGGTGCTCTTCTATTACACTTTATAGAAGGTTAGTGGAGCTTGAGCCCTGCTTTAATACGTAGTGAAAGATAATTCTCTAGAAAAATGTCAGCCAGTGGGGTAAGGTCATTCTGCTGTTTTTAATTTTTATATTGAAGGACAATGTTGGGTGTTTGGGAGCCAGAGGGCTTTGTTGACAGGTCAGAAGTAAGATTGACTTGTGTGTTATTGTTCATCTCTCTCCAAACTCTAGGTATGTTTCCAAGTTTATATATCACAGTATTTAAAAAGACATGTTTGCATTGAGAAATTAACCCTAAAGCGTTTTTGATAGGAGAGTATAGAACTCCAGTACCATTGTAACTAAACTCTGTCTGGTCACTGTAAATATTTACCTGTCAGTTTTGACAGATTGGGGCCAGCTGGATGTTTTAAATCTTTAGCCCGGTATGAAAGCTTAAAGGTATATATTCAATTTTTTACCATTTTATTGAAAATATTTAAAATCTGTTTTTACAGGGCTTTTCTTTTTGTAATCTGTGCCATGAAATTTGAAAACCACCAAAAATCAAGGGAACTTTTATATATTCAATTCCTTTTCTGGTGTAATGTTAAAGTTGTAAAGATTATTAATGCATGCCCACTGAATATAACCCTGGTTTTGTGATAAAGTTGCTTAGATTTTGTTGATGACATTAGATTAGTAGTTGCATTAAATAACTAAATTCCTATGGTGATTATTAATTGAAATTTTGTCTTTAAGCAGAGAGTTATTTGTGAATATAAGCTTTGTGCTTAGAGAATGTATGTGTTTTTATCTGTCAGTATGAGAGGATATAAACTGCATCATTAGTGAAATTATTGGTTGTGTAATCCTTTGTGAAAAATAATTCTAGGTATTGATAGATATTGAATGTATTTAGTGTGTGTGTATGTGTGTGCATGGATGTGTGTTGGGGGAGGCGGAGAGGAGATGCTATTGGCCATCACTACCAACCAAGGTTTCATAAAGTATTATCTAAGTAATTTCTATAATCACTGTCTCAACTGAGAGACAAAAGGTTCACCAGAAGTGGTGTGAAGGCTTTGGGTACTTATGTAAAATTTTTGATGGTAACATATACATAACCAGATTTACAATTTTAACCATTTTAACGTGTGTAATTCAGTGGGGTTAGGTACATTCACTGTGTTGTGTAATGATCACCACTATTTACTTCTAAAACTTTTTCATCACCCCAAACAGAAGCTCTATGCAATTAAAATAACACATTTCTCTTCTTCCCAACCCCAAGTAACCTCTATTCTACTTTCTGTCTTTGAATTTGACTATTTTAGGTGCCTCATGTTAAGTGGAATCACACATTAGTTTCAAGGTTCACATGATAGCATGTATCAGAATTTCATTCCTGTTTATGGCTTGAATAACATTGTATGTATATACCACGTTTTAGTGAACATTATTGCAGAAGTATATAATTGAGTTCTGCCTTCTGTGTTTTTGGGTATATATGAAGGAATAGAATTACTGGATCATATGCTAATTCTATGTTTAATTTTTTGAGGAACTCCAAACTGTTTTCCATAGCAGCTTCATTATTTTATATTCCTACCACCAATGAACAAGGCTTCTGGTTTTTCCACATCCTCTATAACACTTGTTATTTTCTTTTCTTCTTTTTAAAGTAACTGTCCTAATGGATATCCTTATAATGGCTATCTTATTGGATGTCTCCTTTCATTGTGGTTTTAATTTGCATTTCCATAATGGCTTGGGATGCTGAGCATCTTTTCATGCACGTACTGGCCATTTGTGTATCTTCTATGAAGAAATGTATTCAAGTCCTTCACTCATTTTTGATTGGGTTGTTCTGTTATTGTTGAGTTGTTGGCATTCTTTATGTTTTCTAGATAGTAATTCATTATGAGATAGGTGATTTGCAAATGTTTTCTCCCATTCTATGGGTTTTCTTTTTATTCCCTTGATAGTGTCCTTTGATGTACAATTTTTTTTTAATTTTGATGAAGTCTAGTGTATCTTGTCTTTTTCCTTTTGGCTGTGCTTTTGGAGTCATATTCAAGAAGATTGCCAAACCCAATGTCATGAAGATTTTTCTGTTTTCTCTTAAGAGTTGTATAGTTGTAGCTCTTGATCTTTGTTTCGTTTGGAGTTTTATATATGGTGAAAAGTCAGTGTCCAGCTTTGTTCATTTGTATTTGGATATTCAGTTTTCTTAGTTAGCCCTTTCTCCACTGAATGATCTTGGTGCTCTTGTTATAAATCATATGTGAGGGTTTATTTCTGAGTGTTGTATTCCATTGGTTTGTATGTTTGTCCTTATGCCAGTACTACACTATTTTGATTACTTTAGCTTCGTAATAAGTTTTACATTATATCATTTCTAACCCTTTCAACCTTAGGAAGACATTTGAGAAAACAAAGGCTCAGGATTCTCATTTGGATAACTAAATGTGAAATAACTGAAATGCCAAGTGAGAAAAGTCGTGTCTTAAATTCCTATTGTATTTCTGTTCAAAGAAGTTTGTTTCCCCCAAAAGTAGCCTTGAAACTCCCCAAAAATCAGACTCCAGAAAATTAATCACTCTCTGCCCTGTCTGGAACCTCACTAAAAAGCTCTTTTTTTTGAGACAGAGTTTCGCTCTTATTTCCCAGGCTGCATGGCAATGGCACGATCTTGGCTCACTGCAACCTCTGCCTCCTGGGTTCAAGCAATTCTCCTGCCTCAGCCTCCCAAGTAGCTGGGATTACAGGCGCCTGCCCATTCGCCCAGCTAATTTTTTCTATTTTTAGTAGACATGGGGTTTCACCATGTTGGCCTGGCTGGTCTTGAACTCCTGACCTCAAGTGATCCACCTGCGTTTGCCTCCCAAAGTGCTGGGATTATAGGCGTGAGCCACTGCACCTGACAAAGCTCTTTTTTTCTGAACATGTCTCTGACTGGACTCAGCTCACTTTGCTTAAAAAGCTCTGTCTTCATGCTGTTTGTGAAAAATAGTTCCCTGCAGTTAGTTGTTTAATATAGTAGTTGCCTGAGGCAGGTGGGGCTAAAAAGTAGCTGACCAAAAAGTAGGAAGCGTACTTTTGAAAAGTTTCATTGTGTTCCTGGGAAACTTGAAGGCAATGCACATAGGCAAGACTCTTTCCATGCCCAAGAAAAAATTCTAAGGCACTAACCTCACCTTTAGCAGGCACTGAAGCTCTGTTCCAGCAGGAAGTGAAGGGTAAGGTACAGTTGTAAACTACATGCCAGGGTTTTAAAGGCATATCCTAGACAGAGTACTTTAGCAAGACGGAGACTTACAGGTTCAAGACATTTGAGGAAATCTCTGTCTAATTATTAGCTGACCACTAAGCTAATGAAGCAGAGACTTCAGTGGTCACAGCAGAGAATGCACACATTATAGTGTTAGTCAAAAAAAAAAGGCCAGTGAACAGCAAACACAACAAACCCTGGTGTCTTAAAGGGATTCTGATTTCCAGAGTTGCCACATTGTATTCACTTCCCCATTATCCACAGTTTTGTCTCTGTGGTTTGTTACCCATGTTCAACTGCACTCTGAAAATATTAAATGGAAAATCCCGGAAATAACTCACAAGTTTGTGTGTGTGTGTGTGTGTGTGTGTGTGACGGAGTTTCGCTCTTGTTACCCAGGCTGGAGTGCAATGGCGCAATCTTGGCTCACCGCAACCTCTGCCTCCTGGGTTCAAGCAATTCTCCTGCCTCAGCCTCCCGAGTAGCTGGGATTACAGGCACGTGCCACCGTGCCCAGCTAATTTTTTGTATTTTTAGTAGAGACGGGGTTTCACCATGTTGACCAGGATGGTCTCGATCTGTTGACCTCGTGATCCACCCGCCTCGGCCTCCCAAAGTGCTGAGATTACAGGCTTGAGCCACCGCACCCGGCCCAACTCACAAGTTTTAAATTGCACACTGTTTTGAGTAGCCTGAGGAGATCTTCTGCCGTTCCACTTGGGACATGAATTATCCTCGCGTCCAGCATATCTTTGCTGTATATGCTACTCGTCCATTATTCACTTAGTACCTGTTATGGTTACCAGATTGATTGTCATAGTATTGCAGCGTTTATGTTCATTTTACTTAATGGCCCCAAAATGCAAGGGTGGTGATGTTGACAGTGTGGATATACCAGAGATAAGCCATAAAGTGCTTCCTTGAAGTGAAAAGATAAAGAGTTCTTAATAAGGAAAGAAAAAATAAATTATACTGAATTTGCTAAGGTCTATGAGAAGAACTAATCTTTTTTTCTATGTCAAAGTTGAGACAAAAGAAATCACAAATTGTGAACAGTGTACTTTAATTGTATATTATTAGTTGATCTCCTTGTCTAATTTGTAAACTTTATCATCGGTATGTAGGTGTAGGAAAACACCTACAGAACACAGGTTTTGGTACTGCCTGTGGATTCAAGGATCCACTGGGGGTCTTGGAACATACCCCCAAGGATAAGAGGGGACTACTGTATTTATAAGTCTAGTTTTCAATAGAAAATAACAAAAGTTGTAAAGAAACAGAAGTGTCTGTGAGGAAGTTCATATGTTGGACTAATTAGACAAATACTTTGTCAACTTTAAAAAACATGTTCAAAGAACTAAAACCATGTCTGAAGAACTAAATATGAGAGGAATGTCTCATCAAATAAATACCAAGAAAGAAAGAAATTTTGAACAAATCAAATGGAAATGTGGATTGAAAGGTAAAGGAATCAAAATTTAAGATTCACTGGAGAGTCTCAACAGCAGATTTGAACTGGTAGAAGAAATAGTCAACTTGAAGACAGGCCAATTGAGAATATCTACATGAAAAACAAAAGTGAAAAAGCCTGGAACCTCAGAGACATGTAGGACACCATCAATTGTAGTAAGTAGCATGCAGAATGGGAGTTCACCTTGTTGCCAAAGTTAAAAATTAGCCAAGTGTGGTGACTCATGCCTGTGGTCCCAGCTACTCAGGAGGCTGAATGGGAGGATCACCTGAGCCCTGGAAATCGAGGCTGCAGTGAGCCATGATTGCACTACTGCACTCCAGCCTGGTAGAGAGAGCAAGACTTTGTATCAAAGTAATAATAATAAAAAGATGGAGATAGAGTAAAAAATGTACCTGGAAGTCTGACATCTGAAAGTTTCAGGAAGAGAAAGATGGAATGAAGGAAAGAAAATTAATAACATAAGAAAATGACTCTGAAGTGAAGGACTTGAATTTCTAAAGAACCCAGAGAATGCCTAGCACAGTAATTTTTTTAAAAAAAGAAGCACATTAAGCATAATATGGATAAAAAGATGCTAAAAGCTCCAGAAAGGAGAATCAATCTCTCTCTGTCTCTGTCTCTCCCCCTCCCCCCACTCTTTCTCTTTCTCTCAAAAAGATAAGAAATCATAGAATGGATATCTCAAAATTGTTTAAGAAAATTAAATCATCCCTATCTTCTGTAGTTAGAATTTAATAGATAAAGCCTAAAATGGAATACAGGAGTACTATTGGAGTATTATTTTAAAATAATTAGATTCTTACTTAACCTCTTTCACTCCTAAGAATTAATTTGACTTGCTAAATAAAGTATATGCATTGCTTTGGCAAAACCAAACCAAAACTAGATGAAAATAAAACACTTGTACTCTTGTCTCATTCTTGTACCTAAATATGGTATAACCCTGGCCAAATATCTTAGTTCTTTGTTTTCTCTGATGGAGGGGTTGATGTCTGTGGTTCTTTTCATCTGTAAAACACAAATGCTTTATCTTTCAAAGTACAGCAGGTCCTTGAAAAAATGTTCTCTTAACAATGTCAATGACCAAAAAATAATCACTTTTCTGGTGG